GTTTGGAAAGTCAGCCTCGTTTGTGAAAAGCGCTCGGAGGAGACGAGTAGCGCAGACCTTCCGTCCGGCGGCTCAGGGCTACCGGCCTTAAAGCGGATGCATAAAGGCGCGCATAAACCGCCGCGTGTTTGTATTGAGCGCTGGATTGAAAATCGGGCCACAGCCGAGTTTTCGGGAGTGTGCCGCGTAACAGCTCGCTATAACGCTACTCTGTCGCAAGGGATCACTCTTGCACTGTCGGATCCCAGCGCAGCGCGCGTACTGGACTGGGCCACGTCGCTCCCGCACCTGCGGTGCCTGTGTCTCTGTGGTTGAATGCCCCGGATTGCGTCTCCGGTGTGATTTGCTGTGGATTTCTCGCAGTCGCGCGCTCTCTGCATCGCGTCGTAGCAATATCACCTGCATCGGCTCAAAAAGCCGGGGTGCCTGGTTCTGGGGACCTCCGAACCTGTCGATTTTCACCCGCTCCGAGCTCGGTAAATGAACACTTTGGCCTCACAATACAAGCACTCCACCCGTCCCAGCGGGGGTCTGCTCTGTTTCCGCTTCATTCGGATTAAAATCGGTTTCGGTGCGCGTCGGTTTTCTGACGGGGGGGCGTGGCTTTGAGTATGGTGGGCGTGTTTTTCACAGAGTGGGCGTGTCTTCCATGACGAACGGGTTGTCTTTAAGAGGGCGTGTCTTATTGGTTAAATGGGCGTGTCTTGTACGCTAAAGGGGTGTGTCTTTCGAGGTAATGGCGGGAAGTGGGGAGCTGGTGAACAGGCGTCTTCCTGCTGGGTGTCCAGGGTCCAGCACCCCAACAGTAATGCCCCTACTGAGACCGTTGTTAATTAGTTATCAATTAATCAATTAAGTCCTTTAGCGATAAGGACACTCTGATTTGCAGTTAAAGGTTTTTTTTTTAATGATGCAATTTCCAAGTCCTGCTGAAATAAAAAAAAAACCTTTAACTGCAAATCGGAGTGTCCTGATCGCTAAAGGACTTAATTGATTAATTGATAACTAATTACCAACGGTCTTGCGCGGTTATGTTCTGAAGTGGAGGGCAGCAGCACGGTTGAGCGGCTCGTTCCAGACCCCTGCCACTCTTTCCGCGAAGATGCGTTCCCACTTCCCGGCCTGCGTGACGCTGACCTTGAGAGGCAGTGACCGCGGATCGGGGCGATACGCTGCCTTCCCCGGCAGCGACGTGTCTCCCCCCCGCCCCCCTCTCCGCTGTGAGAAATCCCGGGTGGCGGGACAGGGGTTGTGCACGCTGGGTGGTGCCTGCTCTCCTCTCCGGGCTCGTCCTGTTGTGTCCTGCTGGGAGCTGGTGCAGTGCAGGCCGTGCAGGGGGGGTCCTCTCCCCCCTGCTTCTGGGAAGAGGCTGGGAGCAGCGGCGCTGCTGAACTGGACCTATTGTCTGATCCCGCTCGGTCGTGGAGTGGGGGTAGGGGGGTGTTAGAGAGTGGCGCCGGCAGTAAATCCCACATAATCTGCCTTCCGGCCGTCGCGGCGTGCCACTCTGTACTGCGCAGTGACCTCTGTACAGGCCCGAGCCAAGCGCAAGGCCCAGCAAACCTTTTCATACTCGGTATCGTCTTCAACAACATGGCTGGGCAGCTTGTTCCACACTCCCCCCACCCTCTGTGTAAAGAAGTGCCGTCTGTTCTCAGATTTAAATGCGTCACTCCTAAGATTCTCCCTTGTGCACGTGTGAGATTCACCGGATTCACTCTATCAATGCGTCAGCGTGTCTTTCTGTGTGACTGTTTCTCTATCCAAGTGTGACATCCTAGAGACTGCTGTCCCTCTCCTCTCACACTCCCCCTGGATTCACACACTGAGACACACCTGACTGGACTGTAGACACTGCAAGAGACACTGCTGTCCCTCTCCTCTCACACTCCCCCTGAATTCACACACTGACACACCTGACTGGACTG